AAATAAAATTTTAGGATGAAAACAAAATTTGATATGATTAAAAAAATAAAATTTTGGGATGAAAACAAAATTTGAGTTGATGGAAAAATAAAATTTTGAGATGAAAACAAAATTTGATATAATTCAAAATTAAAATTTTGAATGAAAGCAAGATTTAATCATAAAGAAGTTTTTATGGAAACAGAGTGGAAAACTATAAGACAGAGAATTAAAAGAAAGGAAGGGATAACGTTATATTCTTAGTAATTTTATTAGATGGATACATATACACGAGTGGAAAATTTTATAGTGCGTATCAGTGAAGAAGCGTCAAGTTTACTCTTAGGGAAGCAATCAAAAAATTATTTATTTTTATTTTAGTCAAACTCAAACCATAAAAACATTAAGATTTATAAATAGTGGTATTCGTCTTTATTTTTGGAGTAAAATGATCAAGTACTGTATTATAAAAGTTATCGCTAGATTTTTAATTTTTTGATAATTTTTTTTCAATCGAAATCAAAGATAGATTCGATAATCGATTTTGGCTCATCCTGTTTCTGCAATAAGATTTAATTCTTTTTAAAGATGAAAAACTCCGTTCTGCACTTGCTGTTGTTGAAGCCAAAGTTAAGATGAATTTGCATAATTTAAAAAACTCTTTAAAACTTTTTATCAAATCGGTGCATATTAAAAATTCAAGTATTTCATTAACATTCTTTTTCTTTCTAAATTCCCCTAAACATCCAGCTTGTGTAAGTCGAAAAATTGAGAATAAGTGTCGTTTAAATTATCTAATAATTATTTTGGGAAATTTTGATTATTTGGAATTTACTAATATCTAAAAATTCCGAATTAATATTTTTTGGTGTTAGACATATGAAATATAATTAATCAAATCATTTTGAATATTGTTTGATAGTCCAATAAAACTGCACTATTTCTAAATGATTTTTCAATAGTAAATTTTCTCTTTCGCGAGGAAATAAATTAATTCAATATAATTTCCTCTATTTACTGAATTAGAAGATTCATCATGACCATGGAATACGAGCTCCTGAATTCGAAGTAAACATATAAAGTTGATCAATATTTTTAATATTTCTCTATTTGATTTGACTTTAGAATTATGCTGTTCGATATCTATCATATTTTCAATACAATTTTGGCCAAATGTTTTTAATTGAATCATCGACTGCAAATGAGCGGTTGATTCTTTGCCGTTTAACTGCCTTTGAAAAATTATTCATATCCAAAAATCTTTTATCATTCCAAACATATTTTTCCTTTGGGAATAATAGGCATGACCTACAATATAGAGAATTAGGAAATTCACATCCAGTGAGCCATTCATATTTTTCATATTTATCGATAGAAAAATTACGGATGCAAGTTTTGATTTCCTTTTTTAAGTTTTGTAAAATTGGTTTTGATCTTCCTTTTTCAATAATCAATTTTTTCGCATCAAAATTTTTAAGCTAAATGATAGTGTTAATAAATTTTTCAATAATACAATTACAATTATTAAACATTAATTAAGGATTTTAAAAACGAAAAATTTTTTATTTTAAAAAAGTAAGGAAAAAAATATTATATTAAAAAATTTCTTTCTCTTTTATTTATTAAAAAAATAGGCATTTTTTTATTTGCTTCCCCAATCAGCGTCTACATGACAGGATTTTCTATCATTATTTTCACCTATAATTTATAAAGGATAACTTAAATTAATCTATCTCTGATACCAATTATCGATATTTTGTGAATATAAAGAATTTATTTTTTAGATAATAAATTCAATTAAAACCTCCATTATTTACAATGAATTAATTATTATGGCATTATGAGCTTGCTTAAATATCTAAACCTTTTAAATTACATTTAAAAGGATAGTTTGTTTGGAAAACAATGTGTATGATTGTTTGCAATATATAGATTTGGTCGATGAATTGTATTATAATAATACTATAATAAAAGTATTAATTTTTACAGCAATAAATTTTGTCCTATTTCATCTCAAAATTTAATAGATAACCCCCAAAAAATTTATCCTACCCCCATTAAAGCAGCTTACCCCCTGCCCCCTCATAAAAATAGGATGCAAACTGTTCCTACCCCTCCCGCTCATGTAGACGCTGTCCCCAATGCTTATTATTGAATGGTAAAATTACATAATACCATGGCATGATTTTCTCTTTATTTATTAAAAAAAATAAGCAATATTAAATTTGCTCTATGATATTTTTTTACCGTAGTAAAAATAATAATAATTTTTTTTAACGTAGTAAAAATAATAATAAATTTTTTAACGTAGTAAAAATTATAGTAAATTTTTTAACGTAGTAAAAATTAAAGTAAATTTTTTAACGCAGTAAAAATAATAGTAAGATATACCATAGGAAAGTGACAATTGTCATAATCGTCATTTTTGAACTTTTTAATTTAACATGTTTGCAAAATATATTTTTACATATTTGCCTTAAAAAATAAACTTCAAGTCTGAGTCGAAAAACGACCAAACTTCAAGTCTGAGTCGTAAAAAAACGACCCAGATTTTGGGTAGATCGTTTTTTCGGCTTGGACTCAGGTCGTGGTCGAAAAAACGACCCGAACTTTGGGTCGGGGTCGCGACGTTTTAACAACACTATTTGTAAGTGTAAATTGTGTCCCAACTAAAATATTTCAACCTCAATTGTGAAAACATGGGCAGTCTCCTGTTGAGCCATTTTAAGGACAAAATAGGAAGGTATCTGATTAAACCGGTTATAAAAAGATTAAGCTCTTTTTATAACTAAAATTAATAGATAGTCTTATTAAGATGGGCCACAAATTTGACGAATCTTGTGATAAATCCGAATTGCAGAGATTTTCGATAATGACAAGTCGTTCATAGATGAATATTGTATGGATAGTGTTAATTAAAAAATAAAATATGTATATATGATTTTATAAGTTATGGAACCTGTTGCTAAGTCTTTCTCAATTTTTCAGGAAAAATAATGCATCTGGGATAGCTTACTCCCACGATAAGTATTATAATATACTTAAAAAATATTTTTAATATTAAGTTAGTTTAATATGATTCTGAACATTAAAACTTTTTGTTATGGAATTATATTACTATAGACTTTATACCAATTATTCAGTACAAAATTTTTTATTAAAGTCATTGATAATAATCTTCTAAATTATAATTAGATTTGATACCTTTTCTTAAAATATATTTCTTATCTAAGATATGGTCTAAAAAAAGGCAGCGCATGATCAACATTCTGTTGTTTAAAAATCATTTCTAATCTCATCTGATTATGTTTACAATAAAATAATATATTCTTAATCTATGCAATTTATATGATGTGTAATACTATAGAATATCATTTATAATAATAGATTTTATTATCATTAATAGATTGATTTCTTAAATTAGGATCAACCAATAAAAAAATACTAGATATCTATCATTAGTATGGAATACAACATCTAAGTATCTAAGTCATTTTTTGTCTCATATTTATAAGTTACATTATATTTATCTTATAAATAGTTAAAAACATATTTGAAATATTAATCTATAATAAAAAATATTAAATGTTGAATTTTGTGTTATTTTAATTAAAATGAGCAATAATATTTATAAGAATTTTTTGCATAAGAAAAAGTAGAAAAAAACATGATTGTTTAGGTAGCCCCAGGTTATAAGAGGTATGAGAACCCCCCCCCTCAAATTCCAAAACGCCACTGATTCGAACATATCAATAAAGATGAATATATATAGGAATAATTCACCTGCTATTTAAATTGGATTAGCCCTAGATAAAATTAAAAGTGAACGGAGGAAGAAAGCTTGAACTTATTTCCAGTTTGAAAAAGATAAACATAGAAAAAGCAAATTTGTTTCCTTTATAAAACAACACACATACCAAATTATTCCCGATAAAGATAAAAAAAATTTGGATGAGGATCTGAAATTAAACGTTTTTCAATATAAAGATTATTCTTTAATTTTTAATAAGTTAATTAAAATTTTTATTTACTAAATATAACCCTCCCATGCTCTGAGCCAGTTGAACTTGTATTTAGCACGGCGATAGCTGTGATGAGTACTAAGCACTGTTGCTTATCTAATCAAAATTTTGAAATTCATTTGTTAAAAATAAATAAAAAATTATTACAAAAATATCTTATCTTATATTTTTGTATAATTTTATTTATGATGTATATATTTTTTTTTAAATATAATTAATTTTTTAAGTAACGAATAACGCGTTACTTTTTTGAATAGCCAGTAACGCGCGTTCCTTTTTTACAAGATAACGAGTAACGATAACGACTCCTTTTCAGCCGTAACGAGATTATTTTTTAAGTAACGTTTTACAGCACTAGGTTGGCCCGTTAAGGTATTTTGTTATACTTTCTTAAGATTGCATATTATTATACTATATAATCTTATTTACTTAAAATAACCATATATAACTAATTTTTGATAGAAAATATTTGTAATTTTTTAAGAAAAATACTTTTTTCATAATTTATAAGTGTATATTTATACTTTCCTTTATATAATCTATTTTCTGTTTCTTTTATTAAAAATATTTTACATAATAATAAAACATAAATGTGTTTTTGAAGAAAGTTGACCCACAAAATATATTTTACAAACCAGGCGTTGTAAAAATAAGTACTAGCCAAAAATAAGATAGAAAATTATCAAGGGTGGGTTTGATCCCATCTTTAAACATGAGTATTGTATCAATATCAAGTTATCGATACATATCTGATTAATATTTTATAAACCAAATTTCAATGTTTGTATATATAATAGTAAAAAATAGGAAATTAAATTTTAAGATTGTAAAAATAATCAACGAAAATGTTAGCAGAATACTTAAAAAATTAGTTCTTAAATTTCTAAATCCAAAATATTTTCCTTTTCCTCTTTATTTAGTCTCTTAATTTTTAAATAGAATATTACAACGACGTATTCGCCTTAATAAACATAATAGAAAATATAAAAATAATCAAACCAGTGGTATGATGAGCCACGGCTTTAGCCAACATAGTTTTACCACAACCGGGTGGTCCAAACATGAGTACTCCTCGAGGTGGATCGATACCTATCTGCTTGTACAATTCATAATGAGTAAGAGGTAACTCTACAGCTTCCCTTATTTCCTGCTTTTGAATGTCCATGCCTCCTATGTCCGAATATTTCACGTCAGGCCTTTGATCTAACGTTATTTTTTATGGTTAAAGGCTTTGAATCGTAATATACTTTTCATTTTAACAAATTTCTTGGTTATAAACATTTCTATTTTTTAATTATTGCCTAATTTTTCGTTGTGCCTTGCGTTTTTAATAACTAGGTATAATCATAGATCCTTTACTAGGCTATGTACTAGGCCTATTCAAAAATAATTCGAATATTCGATTCGAATAATCCGAATCTAATCGAATAATTACGAATACGAATAATAAATTATTTGTTTTATCTGAATACGAATAATCATTTATTCGATTCGAATAAAACGAATTATTCGTAATATTTAATAAATTGTTTAATAAATCTAACATTTGTCATTTCTATTTGTTGACCTGCCAATAGGACAGGTGATGTGTTTGTGTTTATAAAAATTCTAGCACAAATTTAAAAATTTCTGCAGTGAAAATTTAAATTTTTATTTGCCACATTTTTTGAATCTCACGAAAAGTTTATTTTTTAAATTTCTTAATAAATTATATTAAAAATTACACAAACCAGAGGTACATAAAAATATATTACATTTCTACAATAATTATTGTTAGCTAGCCTAATTATGTTAGAGGAGAATGCTTCTGATGAAATTATGCTTGATGTTGAAGTTAAGAAAATTTCCTCACAAAAGAGAGCAATCATATGGGACCAATATCAAATCCTTAAAGATAGTGAAAAGGCTGCTTGCAATCATTGTAAGAGTATTATAAAATGTAAAGGCAAAACAACATCTTCTCTTATTAATCATTATAATAGGTTTCATTCACACCTTAGTAAAAATAATAAAATTGACATTTTTTTAAAGTCTACACCAAATTCTTCAAAAAAAATTAATTTTAAGGATAATTTATTAAAATTATTTATAAATCATAATATTCCTTTTTTAAAATTATTAATTCTAATAATTTTAAAAATTTTATAAGTGATCTTGATTGTTCTGTAAAATCAATATGCTCCAATACTCTTAAATTGCACATGTATAATACTATTGCAGAAAAAGAACAATTGGTAAAGGAAATAATATCTAAAAATAAAAGTCAGATTAATTTTTCATCTGACATTTGGACTAGCCCAACACAGGTTACCTTTTTAGAGCTAACAGCCCATTTTATTGATGATAATTTTAAAATAAATAACATAATTTTGGATGTCAGTCCAATAAATGAAACACATTCAGGTGTAAATATATTTAAAGGCTTTGTCAAAATAATTAAAAATTATAATTTAGAGAATAAAATTTTTTATATAACTTTAGATAATGCAACTAATAATAAAACATTTATTGATACATTTTCTTTAAAATACCATTAATAAAAATAGGGCACATCCGAGATTTTGCCCATGTAATTAATTTAATATCCAAAGAAATTTTAAAAATTTTAGACCCTTCAATTCTAAAACTAAGAAACATTATTAGAATGACTCGTAATTCCCCTCAAAAATTAAATTTATTAAAAAATTATATGTAGTTCCCTACATCCTCCCCTAAATTTTTTAAAACCAAAATTGAATTGTGAAATAAGGTGGAATAGCACCTATCAAATGATTGAAAGGGGCTTATTGTTAAAGCCTGCTATAACAAAATTAGTTAATGAAGTAATAACTAACATTAAAATTCTTCAAGAAAAACAAATATCAGAGGTAAACTAAAATTTATAATTAGGTAATAATATAATACTTTAATAACATATAGGAAGAATGGGAGGATCTTATAAAAATTAAAGCTATACTATTGCCTTTATATGAAACTACAAATATGGTATGTGGGGAGAATTATCCTACTTATAATTTGGTTATACCTTATTATATTTTAATTCTTGAACATCTAAAAAATGAAAAACCTGGTTTCCATAAATCCTTTAACAATAGTTTCAAAGTAGCGTGATAAATTGTTGGGCTATTATAATTTAACTGCCGATGATGCAATAATAACCACAATATTAGATCCCAGGCTTAAAGTAGAATATTTTAAATCAATATCTGTTGATTATGATATTGATATATCCAAGTTAATGGACAAATTTAAGAGATTTACAATAGATATACAGGTATTTAATTTACCCCCATTTAAATATAATTTTATTTTATAAGCTTATAATTATAACTGTCAAACAAATAAGGATAAAATTCAACAAAACAGGCTAGACATTGTTTTTAAACAAAATAATATTCAACTGTGTGAAATAGATTTTTATCTGAGTGAACCAAGAGCAAAGAGTGATACTAACCCGGTGGTGGAAGGCAAATGCATATCGGATCCCCATACTCTCGAAAATGGCAAGGGATTATCTATCTATACAAGGAACATCAACTGCTTGTGAAAGACTTTTCTCAGTTGGAACTAATTTATTGTCAAAAAACCGCATGTCATATAAGGAAGAAAATAAAAGAAAAACTCTTTGCCTTAAAAATTGGCTTAAACTATAAATTAAATTAATAATATATATTTTAATTTTGTTTATAACTTGATTATATATTATTTATTATCAGATTATTGATTACTTATTATAATTTTTTCTGTTTAAAATCAAATTTGTCAATATATTTGAGTATGATTTATTTTATTAAAAAAATTAATTCGAAATATTTGAATAATTTGAATCGAATACAAATAGTAGATTTTATTATTCGTACGAATTCAAATAGTAAATTATTCGATTCGTTTTTGAATAGGCCTACATGTACTAAACAATTTTTGTAATGCGATTTACGATATTCTAAAAAAGTAGTACTATTTATGCCCCACATAATTTTATATAATTTGTTGCGCATAATTTATATATGTTTTAGTTGTTTATTATTTTAATTATAAATATCATATAACAATTATAATATTTAGAGATTTGAATAATATTTATTACTTGAAACCAGATTACGAATAATTGTATAAGTTTAATAAAGATGTGGTATGACATATTAAAATAATTTATTTTGAATAGATGTCGTTGGATCAAAATGTTATGAAGCTGATTATTTAAGACGCATCAATTAATAAAGAAACTATATCTATAATATATATAAAAGCCTTGTCACAAAAATCATGTCACACTTTATAATATATATTCAAAAATACGTTAATTTTGAAAAGTGCCTATGGCTCGATCGGGCAAGACTTCGCTTACAAATCTAGATGGATTATTGGACTTGGGTTCGAACCCCGTTTCTTAATCTGGTAAAATATTTTTTTTTCTTAATCTGACAAAATCATTGGCGTATGCAGCGGGGGGAAGGGGCAGGGGGACAAATTCCCCCCCCCCAAAGCCAAAAAATGCAGATGCCGGATATATTTTTCAAAAATATTATTGTTTATTAGTTTATATTTGTTAATATTTATTCGTATCTCATATTAAATATATATTTAATTACATTTATTATCACATTTATCTACTTATCTTATCAATTAATTTCGATTTCAAGTTATTTACTTATTATTTTCAAATTTTTAGTGGAGTAATATTTATCTACCATTTTCAAATTTCTAGTCAAATAATTATTATTTCTGAAACTTCTTGTCCAACAGGGAAAAAGAAATTGTAACCTTGTCCAACGAGATAGTCTCTGCCATCAAGCAGTAACAGCTTTTAAGGAGTTAGAAGAGCCAATTATTTGCTATTACTGAAATATCACCAAGCCTGAAAGAAATATTTCCTCAGAAGCAAGAAAATTATTTTCAATGCTTATTCCAAATTTTATTTCTCATTAGAATATATTATTTAATTATACAACTATTTTAAGTATTACTTTTCAAAAACATGACATTGACTTGATTAAGAAGATGAGAATAGCGGAGAGCATTTTATCAGAACTCAAGGAAATTAGGGCTAATGTCGATGAAGAATTTCATATTTTATTGTTGAGTCAAAAGCAGAGCTATATGTGTTTAATATTTGTCTCCCTCGACTTGTAGCAAGGCAAGCTCATCGTTAAAACATTAATATAGGATAAGTAGAAGAGTATATCTTAAATACAGATACATTTATAACCCAAATAAATGAATTTTTAATTCATCATGCAGCACTTACTAATCTGCAAATATTACTTCCACAAAAGCCTTCCCAACCTTTTTCAGATGGTGATAGAAAAAAAAATATTTGTTAGATTTTTAATATGAAGATGTTAAAGTATCTTATGATGCCTTACTAGCTGACTAATTATGTTTATAAGATTAACAATGGTTGATATAGTCCCAAAAAATGCTATGGATGCTCTGCATTATTTCAAACACATTTTAGATTAAATTCCCATAAAAGGGTTTATAAACTCTTCCCATTAGTAAACTAATGAGAGAACATTCTCTTTTTTAAGAAGAATAACAGAGGCCTGCAGAAGTACCATTTGAAGAGCATGGCCCGGATTTTTTTTAAAGATTTTTTACGGCCCGGCCTGGTTGTTTTTTAAAAAATTTTCAGGCTTGGCCCGACTTTTTTTTTTTAATTTTTAGGCCCGAGTCGGCTTTTTTTAAAAAAAATTCAGGCCCGGCTTGGGTGTTTTATTAAAAAAAAATTGGGCCCGGCCCGGGTATATTTAAAAAAATTAAAATACTGTCCAGCCCGGGGACCGGGCCTGCAGGTCTCTGAAAAACATACCAAGAAGTACAACATCTGAAAGTAGATTGAAAGGTTTGGATCTTTTGAATATTCATAGGCATTTGACGACAAGCAAGGATGAGATAATTGAAAAATTAGCTCAATCACAACGAAGATTGGATTTTACATTGTAAATATATAACATATAAAATGCAATTATTCTTAAAAAACTTTTTGAGTAAAGGCTCAAAAAATTCAAATTTCTATTTTGGGTCATTTAAGTGATTCTTTATTACATATAATTTTTTTATAATTCACATAAATTTAAAATTGTGTAAGAAATAGTTATTAGTCCTAATAAATTTATTCTTGATATTTTTAAAAAACAATAATATTTCTTAAAAAATTTTATTATCCCCCCCCAGCCCAAATTCCTGCGTACGCGCCTGGA